GCCCTCGGGGCCTTTGCAGAAATACCCCTGGTACGGTACGTGTCACCGGTACTTATGCCGGCTCCCCGTACGGTACGGGGACAAGTCTCGTACCAGTTCTCTGCTGCTGTACTCGTACTCAGTGTGACTTGCTGTTTTCGGCATTCGGGAATCCAAGACTTCGACTTTGTGCCTTGCCACTGTGTCTGCGTCCGATCCTCAGTCCGAGTCCCTCGTGTCGAGTGAGTGAGTGTGTGTGTGTGCTCTCTCTCTCTCCCTCTCTCTCCTCTCCCTCGGCTCACCTCAGCCTCACGCTCGTTACAGCGACGCTCAATGCTGCCCCCAACCATGGATGGGGAAGTAGACATTGATGACATCGTGGACCACAGGGAGCTGCCAGTTCAGAGACCTACAGGCAGGGGACCTCCTCCAAAATCGAAGCTGCAGTATCGAGTTCGGTTCAGACATCATTTGGATCCAAAGCAGGATCGTTGGTTTACTAGGGAGGAACTCATGCAGACCGCTCCTCAGATTGTAGCCCAATATGAGAAATCTCTGCAGAAGGGAAAGCGCCAGATCACTGAAGATTGATCTTCTCAGAGGACTATTGAAGATATGGAGGAGGGAATGCGAGGCAGGCACCCCGATAAGCCCCTCAAGGGGCCCTCTTTGCAGCATAGTTGGCCGCCCAAAGTGAAGGCAAGCTCGACAGGCCCTCTCGGCCTCTTTTCCAGGCCCCACGCAACTGAAGGAAATTCAGTCAGTTGCGCAGCGCCAGTTGGTTGAAAGAATCCAGGCCCTGGGCCGCCTATGTGAATGCATGGAAAGCAGGCCCTGGGCTGGATACGGGTACTGGGCTAGACACAGGCCAAGGGCAGTTGGGCGCACGGGACCACCTCAGGCCCAAGGCCTGCATTGCGTGGACTGGGCCTCAGGCTACCGGGGCCTACTGGAAGCTTCCTGGGACTGGACGCAGGCAGGCCACTTCGATATAGCAAAGGGCCTGCCTCCTCATTCGGCATTCGGGTGCTGGCTGCATGCTGCACAAGCGCTGCTGCTGCGCTATTTGCTGGCTGGCGCCTACGCTCTCACGGACAAGCAGGGAAGGAGCACGCAGCCACAGCCGAGCTGCGCTGCTGTAAGCTGGGTGAGGCGCAGGGTGGTCCTTGGGTGCTAGTGGCATCTGTGAGTTGGGGAACGAGGTTGTGAGTGTAGTGCGAGACATACCTGGTGCTGGAAGCGTGCGACATTGGTCGCCATATGCTCGTACTTCGGGAATGCTGTTGACGTCATCTTTCGGCTTCGTAGTATAGGCTAGATAGGATCTGCCACATGTAGTCTGGGCGCCGAGCGCCAGATAGGATATCAACTCTGGTTCTTCGCTGATGATGATGGGACTATTTCAGCATTGTCAATTATGAACTCGTGATGCAATTCTGCTGCTGGTTCGAGGTCAAGACTATCTGGACTCATATGCATGATGCTGTTTGACTGCTGAAGTTCGCTAACAAGTATTTGGATTTACTCAGATGGGAGTATTTGCAATTTGGAAAATGGTACTGCAAGAGGGATTTCACGTACCGTTTTCTGAAAAACGACTTTCGGAAAAAATATTCCGAATTTCCACATAACGGGAAATTGCAAAAGGAGATCGAAATTTTCGAGAAAAAAGATATTCCGGATTTCCAACAATGACATTTCGGATTTTCAGAAGAAAAACGAAAACGGAAATTTCAGCTGTTGCGCTATTGCAACTTTCCACAACAGAAATAGCGAGAAAACGAATTCCAAGAAAAGAAAAGAAAAAAAATGATTTTCGGCAGTGAGGTCAAAATCGGGCTACCTAGTCCCCGCACACGTGTCAGATCAGGTTGTCCTGATTCACGTGCGGTGCTCGATTTTCCACAACAGAAATAGCGAGAAACCGAAATCTATGAAAAGAAAAAAAAAATCGATTTTTGGCAGTGAGCCTGAGTGAGGTCAAAATCGTGATTTTGGGGGCTAACTAGTGTGCTCTAATCAATCAATCAAGATTCAAGACTAATCAGCTACCTAGTCCCCGCACACGTGTCAGATCAGGTTGTCCTGATTCACGTGCGGTGCTCCGATACCAACTGTTACATGCCCAGTTGGGCGATGTACATACAAACCGAGGATCCGCAATGTGATAAAAAGGACTGAATGGACAATGCAGTGCAAGTGGAATCTCAACAAGCAATGTGCATTCCGATACATAGAAAATGGTGCTTTATAGCGCAGGGAAGACTTTAGATACAAGTCCTGACCTGACCGGGACTGAGCCCTTTCACATAGTACAAGATAGCGAAGCAGAATGCTAGAATACTAATGACTAGCCCAATCAATGTTTCAACAGACCAAACATACATCATGCTCATCACAAGGTGTGAAGGGGCCTGGCGCTATACACAGGAAAGAAGCGCCAGGTCCAAACATACACAGACAAAGAGGAGGGGATCAGACGAAGAAGAGGAAGGGGGAGATGGGAAAGTCGTCAACACCAAGTCTCGTTACAAGTCCCAAATAATCCCTCTTCAAAATGTCTGAAGTCCCATGTCGAGTCTGGATCCAATGTCACCAAGCTCTCTCTCTCTCTCTCTCTCTCTCTCTCTCGTAGTCTGCTGATGCAGTGAAGTCAGATAGCGAGAGGGTGAGAAGGAGATGGTGGACTGAGAAGAGGAAGAAGAAGAAGAATCTCTCTCGTGTGCCAGGAACTGACCTGTGAAGATGGCGCTGTGCTGCAGGTACCTCGAAGACGAAGCTGGAGCAATGGCGCTGCAGGTAAGTCCCTCTGGCCTCCGCCCAATCTCTCTCCCTATAGTACTACTCTAGCTATGGCGCCCAGCGCTGAAGACTACAGCTAACGCTACTAGCGCCCAGCGCTGAAGACTACTGCTAGCGCTACTACTACTACTACTGCAGCGCTCCTCCAGAGTGCTGCTGCCGAATCCTGAAGACTACTGACTGCCTCCTGCCTACCCGTGAAGTGCATGGGAAGTCCCTATGTACTACCTCGGCCTGCCTCCTGACTGCCTCCGACTGCCTGCAGTTGCAGGGCGGGCAGTCCAGGAGGCTGCTCTTGCCAATGCCAAAGTGAGCCAGGGTCTGGCACTGCAGCTGTCGTGGGAACAGGCCAAAAATACCCTGTTCCTAAAACCCTGGTTTGGTGCCTGAGTTTCAGGGCAGGTCGGTCTGATGAAAGACCGAAAATGGCCCTTCGTTTCAAGCTAAAAAGGCTACTGCCATTTTTAGTCTGAAACGGCACAGGGTCTGTAGGCCCCTGTTTTCCAGGTTTTCGAGCTGAACAGACACGGGGCCTGCAGGCCCTTGTTTTCAGGCTTTCAGCCTGAGGGACGCAGGGCATGGAAAATGGCCCTCGTGTGCAGGCGCAGCATGTAACAGTGTGTGTGTGTGTGTGTGTGAGAGAGAGAGAGAGAGAGCGGGCACGTCTCCAACCTTGTGGCTTTGTGCTCTCTCTCTCTCTCGCTCTCATGCAGCACGGTCGTGGTCTGCATATGGGGGAGAGAGAGAGAGAGAGCGGGCACGTCTCCAACCTTGTGGCTTTGTGCTCTCTCTCTCTCTCTCTCTCTCTCTCTCTCTCTCTCTCTCTCTCTCTCTCTCATGCAGCACGGTCGTGGTCTGCATATGGTGGGATCAGAAAATTGCATTCGCTGACAAGTCCCGGGCACTGGACTTTTGCGTGGTCGCTGTAGTGACAACTACCTGAGACCAAGCTCCTGACAACATTTTCTCAACCAGCCTGCAGTGGTGCATTCCTCTCTCACTTGTTTTCTCTCTCTTTGCAATGATGCAGACAGAATCAGTCTGAGATTTTATGAGTATTGCTGCTTGCCAGTTTGATTTGCTGGGATGTCCATTTTAGTGAGTGAGGTTGCTGTTTGCTTGCATGTACCTACGTGATGATTGCTATGAGAACTAACTGTGCTCTCACCCTGTATTTTTGTTTTCCCGGGAAGGGGTACTTTGGAAATAGGGAAACCGCAGGGATAGAACTGAAATTGGACGCGGAACGGACTTCTAGAAATGCCAAGACAAAGATGTTTGGCAAAGTATGTGGTAGGAACTCGGATAGGCCTAACTGAGGTCCGGTAAGGCTTAGAAGCACACGGTAGCTTCCAAAAAGGGCATGAGTATGCAGGGCCGGTACCAGATAGTGGGTAGGTTAGACTTAGGCCTTGAACCAGGGTTGCAGGCTGCAATGACGTTCCAATAGGCCTAGCACGCCCAACGGGCAGTTGTACCATGGCCAAGGGATCATTCGGCCGCAACGAGTGAGGCAACTCAGTACCTCGCCGTCGTGCTGCTGCTCCACGCAGGCGGTGAAGGTAGGCAGAGCTCCTTTTGAGCGGTGGAGCTGGAGGATGACGAAGAAGACCTTCATGGGTATGGAGTAGAATTAGTAATAGTAGAGTGTAGGCCTAAGCTGTGGAGCTAGAACGTGAAGTGCCTCATGCCAGGCCATGGAGAAGGGTAGAGAAAGGGTGTAGACACTGTAGAGCTTGAGATGGGGAGAAAGAGGAACCGAGACAGGAGACTCACCCTTGGGGCTATGGTGGACCTTCATCTCTACTTCGTTGGTTGGCACTGCACATCTAGAAGGCCGCTGTGGGGGTACCGGCTGCTCTTCGACTGCATCCGAGGATCTGACTATTGGGGGATGAGATGGGAGAGGCGTTGCAGTAGTTTCGTTGACCCCTATAGCTAGAGATGCAATTGAGAGGAGAGGAGCGAAGTTGAGGCTGAAAGGAAGGCTCTTCGAGTGCTGGCAGCAAGGGGGACATGATTCCTGTTCAATCATTCGTTCATTTGTTGTTGTAATTAATTGGTTATTTGAAATGATATCAGAAAATTTATTTTGTTTCTTGAACTATGGTCATGTACGTGGGTAGGGTTAAAGAAGGGAGGCGCCTGCAATGACAACTGGTTGTGGCTGTTTTTTCCTTTCCTCCCCCCGTTACCCCCTTCCCGCTAATTGTTTGCAGATGATCGTGCGTGGGCTGAACGGCTTAGAGGGCGTCACATGCAATGATGCAGAAGGGGCCATGTATGTATTCCCACAGATCCGACTCTCAGAAAAGGCGAAGAAAGCTGCAGCAGATGCAGGCGTAAAGGCTGATTCATTCTACTGCTCAAAGTTGTTGGACTCCACTGGCGTTGTGGTTGTTCCTGGCTCTGGTTTTGGACAGGTAAGGCTATCTTCCCAAATACAGCCTCTTCTGAGTTATGGCTCTTGTATTTATCTTTCCATCTTTTCAGTCATCATCTATCTTTGCCTTGAACCCTTTTGCTTTACAACTTCAGCAAGTGATTTGGGCTCTGCCGCGCACAAGGGGGGCAACTTGGCAAGAGGTTATGCAGACTCATTTGGCATGGGCGCTCCAAATCCCATGGGAACTGGTGGACCTATGCCTGATTAGTAGTTCTCCGATAGGCCACCTCCGAAGGGAGACGGTTTGGTCCCAAAAGTTGGCATTGTGGAAGAAGGTCCAGCTGAGATGCCGACTGCCAAAAACTGCAGATGCGGTCTTCAACCAGTTGCTGTTTTATAACCGCTTTATCTGCGATGGCGAGGGGGAACCCTTCCCATGGCAGGGACCTCAAGGCGCTTTTGGGTGGAAATGGGGTGTGCAAGGCATTTACGAAGTGGGCCACCTATGGGGCGAGGAGTGGAAGGATTGGCGAACATGTGAAGAAATGGAGAGCACCCTGGAAGGGCTGATGAAGAGGAGACAGCGGGTGAGAGACCTGAGGGAAGCGATCCCCCCCCCCAGTGGGTCGACCACCTGAAGCAAGATGATATAACAGCGGGGCAGTGGGTGAAGCTCAAGGGCGACAAGGCGCCGGAAAGACTGTACAGGGTGGAACAGGCCTTGGCGGACGGCATCCTGCAGGTTACTGAATGGTTGGTGAGTCTGGGTCTGGGTTATGATGGGCTGGGCGAACCGACGCAAGAGGTGAGGGGACAGGGGAGACCTGGCGAGAAGAAGTTAGCAAGAGCCATGATAGAGACTGGCAGTTTGTGAAAGGGGGGGGAAAGGCAGAAGAACAATTCTTGCCATTTCAGGTGGCCTCAAGATTGCGGGATCTGCCACGTGACCCAAGGGAGTGGGAATGGCCACCGCAGAGGATGCATAAAAAGTATATGCTGATCCAGGAAGTGACCACGAAAAATATGTATAACACCTTACTGGAGCCAGTAAACATCTGTGGGGAACTAGAGGAACAATGGGCTAAGCGGGCCTGGCTCATGGACATCTACGTCAACAGATGGACACAGAGGCCAACTGCAGTTTGGCCCCACCTTGGCACGTTATGTACCCCAGCTGGTGATCGAGGATGAAGACGAATAGGGTACAGCCCCTACAGATTGAAACAGATTGCAGTTTTGGAACATATGAGACATAGAGAGAGAGGGGGGACGGGTGGGATTGTAGATGTACCATACTTACGGTAGAAGGATTCCAGGGAATAGAAGGGGCAAGATAAGGGGAAGTTGAAGAAGATAGGGGTTGGGGAAGAGGGAGGTGCGTTTCACAGAGAAGAGGGGGACAAAATTTCGGAAAAGGTTTTAAAATTGCAAAAATTGGGGCAACTTGAAAATAGAGACAGGATAGTGTATAAGAGGATGGTAGTTTGAAGGGACGAGGGATGGTAGTAGGTGGCAAGTTTGATATAAGCAAAGGAAATGTAAGTAGGTAATCTGAGTAGGATGGTGTGACATGCTGCGCCTGCAACAGGCTGCACTGGCCACTTTCAGGCCCGTGACGTGTTCAGGCCAAAAGCCTGAAAACAAGCGCCTATAGGCCCCGTGTCGTTTCAGCCTGAAAGCCTGAAAAACAGGGCCTACAGGCCCTGAGTCGTTTCAGCCTAAATCAGGGCCTTTCCAGCCCTGAGTCTTTTCAGCCTGAAACTGAGGGCCATTTTCAGGCCCTCATGAGTTCGGGCTGCCCCGAAACTCAGGCACCAAACCAGGCTTTTAGCTCAGGCCATTTTTGGCCTATTTTCAAGACAACCTTCATTTGAGCTTCAACCCCAGGGTCTGGCACGTTTTGGCATTGGCAAGAGCAGCCTCCTGGACGGGCCAGCACTATAAAGGACTGGCCCGCCCTGCAGGCTGCAGGTAGTTCCTAGATACTTCCCAGGCACTTCACGTGCAGTTCAGGAGGCAGGAGGTAGTCTTCAGGATTCGGCAGCAGCGCTCTGGAGCAGCGCTGCAGGAGTAGTAGTAGCGTTAGCAGTAGTCTTCAGCGTTTAGTCTTCAGCGTTGGGCGCTAGTATCGTTGGCTGTAGTCTTCGGCGCTGGGCGCCATAGCAGCTAGAGTAGTACTATAGAGAGAGAGATTGGGCGGAGGCCAGAGGGACTTACCTGCAGCGCCATTGCTCCAGCTTCGTCTTCAAGGTACCTGCAGCACAGCGCCATCTTCACAGGTTAGTACCTGGCACAAGAGAGAGAGAGAGAGTTCTTCTTCTTCCTCTTCTCAGTCCACCATCTCCTTCTCACCCTCTCGCTAACTGAGTTCATTGCATCAGCAGACTAAGAGAGAGAGAGAGAGAGAGAGAGAGAGAGCTTGGTGACATTTGGATCCAGGCTCGACATTGGACTTCAAACATTTTGAAGAGGGATCATTTGGGACTTGTAATGAGACTTGGTGTTGACTACTTTCCCATCTCCCCCTTCCTCTTCTTCGTCTGATCCCCTCCTCTTCGTCTGTGTATGTCTGGACCTGGCGCCTCCTTCCTGTGTAGAGCGCCAGGCCCCTTCACACCTTGTGATGGGCATGATGTATGTTTGGTCTGCGTTGCAAATTGGGCTAGTCATTGGTATTCTAGCATTCTGCTGCGCTATCTTGTACTACGTGAAATAGGTCAGTCCTGGTCAGGTCAGGACTTGTATCTAAATCTTCCACTGCGCTATAAAACACCATTGTTGTATGTATCAGGATGCGCACTGCTTGTTGAGATTTCACTAGCACTTTATTGTCCGTTCAGTCCTTTTCATCACATTGCGGATCCTCGGTTATTATGTACATCGCCCAACTGGGCATGTAACAGTTGGTATCGGAACACCGCACGTGAATCAGGACGACCTGATCTGACACGTGTGCGGGGACTAGGTAGCTGATTATTTTTTGGTTGATTGATTAGAGCACACTAGTTAGCCCCCAAAATCACGATTTTGACCTCACTGCCGAAAATCGAAATTTTTTTCTTTTCTTGGATTTTGTTTTCTCGCTATTTTTGTTGTGGAAAATCGCAATAGCGGATGTAAGGAACCTGACTGTTCACACTTGCTGGAGTGTATCATTTCACATGCACAAATGTCATCACACAGATTGAGTAGCTTCACACAAAGCCAAGTCGAGAGGAGACGAGGACCAGATAACGCAGCTTATATTATCAAATCACATTATACAAGAGTATCTCAAGCTCAAGAGTTCAGCGCCCACAGAATACAAGTCTCTCCCTCCTTCAATCATACACACAGGGCATGGCTCAGCCAGCGTCTGCCCCAGATCACGAGTATGGCGCCAACAGGTAAGTATCCACCATATCCAACGTCATAACCTGTCTTCTCTCTTTCTCCCTTCTCTCTCAAGATCTTTGTCCTGGTTCCCTTGTCTCACCATGCATACACACTTCCTGTCTACGAGAATCTACTATGAATGCAACTCACTGATATCCCACTACTTATCCTCCTACTACTATTACTAACACAGGTTGGCGCAGCTATGGCTTCTCCTGCAGCCAGCGCCCAGCTTCCCTTCCTCTGGCACAGCTCTCTTCCAGCCAGCGCTCCTCCCTGCACTATAGCGCACAAGTGCCTCAGCACTTCCACGCATCAATGCCCATGGGGAATCTGCCTTGTGGGGAGGCTGCTTCGTTCTTTATAGTGCTGGCCTCCCCTTGCGAGGTCTGAATTCAGTCTGCCTTGGGTCCTTTCCCAGTCCCAGCCTCTGTGGATTGTGTCCCAAACCCTTATCCTCAGGGGTCACTGCTGCTGCGGCCTTCAGGCCTTAATTTCGGACTTTCAGTCTGTATCTAGACTCTCCTTTTGACTTGAATCTTGACCGGGACTTCATCTTTGACTTCTTTTGAACAGGCACACCTACTGCTCGAACAGACACACATACTGTACGAACAGACACATCTCCTGCATGAACAGACAAATCCTGCACACCCCCTGGATGAACAGATGTGACTCCCACATTTGAATATTGCAACTGTTCGTCCAGGGCACAACTGTGACCTTTGACATTGACTTTTATTTTAGCTAGGATGCGACTTTTGACCCAGAGAACATGCCCTTTGATCTGCTTTCACGAGTTGGGCTCTGTGCGAGTGACCCCACTAAGCTGCTCTCGTCAGTCCGGGTCTAAATCGGGTAAAGGCCCTTTTACAACATCTGAAATTTCCGATTTCGTTTTTCTTCTGAAAATTCGAAATTTCATTGTTGAAAATCCGGAATTCTTCTTTTTTGAAAATTTTGATTTCCTTTTGCAATTTCCCGTTATTTGGAAATCCGGAATATTTTTATTCTGAAATCCGTTTTTTTGAAAACAGTACGGGAATCCCTCTTGCAGTTATCATTCTCCAACTGCGCGTACGCTCATCTGAGTAATTTCGAATTTTGTTTTGACTTCATTTTCGGAATTCTTTTATCAGAAGATCATTTGCGGTCTGCAAGTTCGAAATTTTTCTCATGGATAATTTCGCACTTCGGGGGAGTTGGGAGGCCTACTGAACTTGCAAACGAGTATTTTAAACTATTTTTTCGTTTTTCTCAAATTTTTTTTGCAAAGTTCAAACTTTTCTTTTTGATTAGTGGCTCCTTATTTGGGCGATTTATCCCACCCCTCCCCACCTATGTTATTGCCCCCTCTGGTCTTCTCTCTATCTCCCTCCGGTTACCCCCTGCGGCGGGCATTTGTGAGTTGCCATGTCAGCAGGCCACGTCAGCAGGGCACGGCAGCTGTGCCACGTCAACAACCAGTCACCGCAGCAGCAGGTCACGTCAGTGCATGGTGCTCACCCACTCAAAGACAAGCGGCATGGATCAGCAGCCAGGCGAGACTGCCGAGGCCTATGAGGCCCGCATGGTGGACATGGTAGCAGAGTTCAAGCAACGGGCAGCTGCGGCAACATCCGCACGTAAGAAGGAAGATGAGGACGCAGAGGAGCAGCGTCA